ATAACTATATTCATTTTTTATCATGTTTTAAATCTTCACCTAAGGATATTTTTTCCCCATTGCTTTTAGAGAGAGAGGAACGGAGAGAGGAAGGAAGAAAGAGAAGCACTGATGCAATAGAAGCATCAGGTGGTTGCCTCCCGTATGCACCCAGACCAGGATTGAACCCAGAACCTTCCAGTTACAGAATGATGCTCCAACCAACCTAGCCACACCAGCCAGGGCAACAATAACTATATTTAGAGACAAACTGAATATTAACCAGGAAAATGATAATAAAAATAACAGAACATTATTTTATCCATCACATTGGTAAAATTAAAAAGCCAAATCAAGTCTTTATCACTTGGAAATCAAAATATCACACTATATCCTATAATAACTACCATATTATATAAGCCCAAATAGCAGAGAGCAAAAACACTGAATTTCAGAATATAACCAGTGCTGTAGAGGTATATTAATAGGTCTCCATAATTTCATTATTTGAAAGCAATGATAAAAATTTTAAACCAACTTTCCAATTTAAAAAGTTCAGTAAAAGGTCAAACAATCAAGAAAAAGAGAAGAAAGAAAACAATCAAAATAATGAACAATGTAGTAACTGCAAAATAAAAAAGTACTGATAAATAAATTCAAAGATGGTTGTAAGAGAGAGGGAAAACAAATCAAATAATCAAATTAACTATAAAATATAAAATCTGAAAAATCTAATATAAAAGGAAAACAAAAAATTAAATTAAGAATGAATAAAGGGAGATATCTGAATATGCTTGAATCACAATGAAGTGCATTATTCTCTTGGAAAATTAAAATTGCCAAAACAGACTCAAGTAGTATAGACATGAATAAACCAATGAAATGTTACTAAAATATTACCTCTAAAAATATTGGGTTGGCCAAAGATTTCATTTGGTTTTTCCATAGAGTGGCTCTACTAGTGCTTAGTTATCCTTAACTTCATTCAGAACAATTTTGTTATTGTGACAGCTGTCATATCAGTGTGCATTTAAAAAAAATCAAAATTTGTGAATTTTCATGTAGTAGCCATTTAAATATTGAAGGTGGAAGAACCTATGAAACTTTTTAGCATATTATGCTTTATTATTTCAAGACATAAAAATGCAACTGGCATGCAAAAAAAAAGTTGTGTAGTGAGGAGAAGGTGCTATGACTGATTGGATGTGTCAAAAGAGGTTCTCGAAGCTTCATGCTGGAGATTTTTCACTGGATGATGTTCCATGGTTGGGTGGACCAGTCAAAGTTGATAGCAATCAAATCCAGACATTAACTGAGAACAATCAACATTATAGCACATGGGAAATAGCCTACATACTCAAAACATCCAAATTAATAAATTTATTGGTGAAAATGAAAAATGTGTCTTTTATTTTTTCCATAAAATAAAAGACACATTTAGTTCCATATTTTTATGGAACTAAAGGACTTTTTGGCCAACCCCATAGTTCTAGGCTCAACAAATATTACTGGAAAGTGCAGCCAAACTGTCAAGGACTAAGTGTTTTCTATGCTTAGAAACTCTTAGGGGCCTAAAAAAAAAGCTGGGATGTCATCCAACCCTTCTGAGGTAGCTAGCAATAACCCTGGTACAAAATAAACATGGTAGAGTTTATAAAAATACAAGTAAACCTCAGACTACGGAATATGCAATATTAATCAAAGTGTCTGTTTTGTTGGATTGCCTTGTGTTGGAAACTCAAAATTAGGAAGGAGAGTATACCAAATGTCTACATACCTGCAAACACTAAAATAAGGAGAGCAAAATATATAGAAAGGTTTAAATAAATGGCAGTAAAAGAAATTGAAACATATTTACATCTCGGCCCCTTCAGTAGACTCTTTTTTCAAGCTGATGATAATATTACAAAAACAGCACATATAATGAAGTCAGTAGTAAATTAAATTAGAGATGAGCCACATAGGTTCTAAATGTCATGAATCACTCTCTGTGGTTATCATCCAGGATGGTATCCACCCAGAGGGCTTGTGGTAAAACAGGGTCCACAGATACCTACAACATTTATGATATAAAAGTAATCATTCTAAATGGATTTTGATTAAAATTGGTGGATCACATGACATAAATAAACAAAAAATTGTGATGAAATGTTACAGCAGTGATGAAATTGTGCATAGAGCTTAAAGGCCGTGGAGGGTGGGGCATAAATGAGAGAAAGATTGACAGAAGAAGTGATGTTTGCACAGATCAGCTTTTACTGATTTAGCTTCAATTTCACCTCCCGGTTCTGCCATTTCTAACCTTTATATTCTAGTTTTGTTTGTTTGACTATTTGTTGTTTGGTTAGTTGTTTAAAAAAACATTACAATTTGCTTACTGTTTCCCAAGGTCAATAAATTTCTGTAGTTTATTTTTGTCACCATGATAATTACATAGAAAAGAAAAACGTATCTTATTGAGAATAATTTTTATAAATTTATTAAGATCTATTTAAAGACTTATTGGTTGTTAGGTGGCCAAACCGTACTAAAAGTATCTTACAAATAGTTTGAAACAAAGGCTTGTGGCCAAGCTGTGAAAAATTTCTCAAAGTAGTTAATACATTTCTACAGTATTACTGAAACCTTGCTAAACTTAGGATAGAATTTTGGCCAGATATCACAAGAAATTTGTACTTGTGGACTTCTAATAAATGTGTACTGTTTTCATGCAACTAACCATATGCATTAGGGCTTATCAATATTGGAGCCTAATGATTAAATGATTAATAGTTCTTCCTTTTGTACACATGGAAGATAATTTCACCAAATGTGATTTGAGTTCATTCCTAGTATCTGATATTGTTAAGCAAAAGAAAAAAACAAACAAGATGAGATGAGGAGCAAGGATGCAGCTACTATACTGTCAAAAACATGGGACTAAGAACAGATGCAGAAATTCTAGTCCCAGCACAGCCACTAACAAAGCAAACAATTTTGGTCAAGTCACCTCATCTCTCTGGACCTAAATTTCCTCCCAGTTATAAAATTCTCCTTATCAAATTACCCATGGTGTCACTTTGAAAGACAGAGACCTTACCTCAAGAGCATCAAATTCAGGAAACATAAATTTTTGTGAACAGAGGGAATGGAAACTTTATCCAAAACTATTGAGAACTCTGCATCAGGGTAGAGAGTTGAATCAGTCAGTCAGGGTGCAGCAACTATTCTAATGGCTATTCCACACCTGTCTCACAAGCTCTCTGGCTACCAGGACTGCCAGGCAACTTGAACAATATTGGACACAAGTGACAAAAAATTGTACCCCAAATTGGGGGTCAAAGCAGCTCTACCAATTACACAGGAATAAACACAGGGAGGCTGCCAGATTGAGGAGAAAAAGAAATATGGCCCAAATGAAAGAACAGAACAAAACTGCATAAAAAGAACTAAATGAAACATAAATGATAGATAGCCAACCTATCAGATGCAGAGTTCAAACCACTGGTGATCAGGATGCTCAGAGAACTCACTGAGTACAGCAACAAGATAAAGGAAGAAAGGAAAGTTACACTAAGTGAAATAAAGAAAAATCTATAGGGAGCCATCAGTGAAGGGAAGGAAGCCAGGATTCAAATCAATAACTTGGAAAATAATAAAGAAATAAACATTCAACCAGAACAGAAAGAAGAAATAAGAATGAAAAAAAAAAACCCAGCAAGGATAGTATAAGAAGACCTTGGGACATCTCCAAACATGCCAACATCCAAATCTTAGGAATGCCAGAAGGAGAACAGGAAGAGCAAGAAATGGAAAACTTATTTGAAAAAATAATGAAATAAAACTTCTTTAATTTGATGAAGGAAATAGACATACAAGTTCAGGAAGCACAGAGAGTACCAAACAAGTTGGACCCAAAGAAGACCACACGAGAACACATCATAATTAAAATGGCAAAGGTTGAAGGTAAAGAGAGAATCTTAAAAGCAGAAAGAGAAAAGCAGAGAGTTGACTTCAAAGGAGATCCCATAAGACTGTCAGCTGATTTCTCAAAAGAAAATTTTCAAGCAAGAAGGGACAGGCAAGATGTATTCAAAATAATGAAAAGTAAGGACCTACAACCTAGATTACTCTCTCCAACAAAGCTATCATTTAGAATGGAAGGGCAGATAAAATGCTTCCCAGACAAGGTAAAGTTAAAGGAGTTAATCATCACCAAGTCATTATAACATGAAATGTTAAAGGGACTAATTTAAGCAAAAGAAAATAAAAACTATTAACATTAAAAAGACAACATATTCACAACCATCAGAAACTGAATCTACAACAAACAAATGAATAAACAAACTAAGCAAACAACCAGAACAGAAACAGAAATAGGTATGGAGATCATTTGGAGGGTTATCAGTAGGGAAGAGGAATGTGGAGAATGGGGGAAAAGGTGCAGGTATTAAAGAGCATAATCGGTGGGTACAAAATAAACAGGAGGGTGTTAAAACTAGTATAGGAAATGGAGAAGATAAAGAACTTATATGCCTAACCCATGGACATGAACTAAGGGAGAGGAGTGCTGGAGGGGAATGGGGTACCAGGGGAGGAGGGCAAAGAAGGAAAAATTGGGACAACTTAATAACATAACCAATAAAATATCCTTCAAAAATATTTTATTTATGGTAAGGTGTACATATCACAAAGTTCACCGTTCTAATCATTTCTGAGAGGCATTAATCACTTTCACAATGTTTGCCTCTATGACCACATAATTTTTTTAATGGATATTTAAAGTCATTCATCTGTCAGTGCTGCGGACCCTATGCTAAACTCTGGGGATTACATGTTAAACAAAAATTGACACGATCTGTGCCTTCAATTGGGCGGTCTTCCAAGCCCAATTCTGGAATCAAAGGCTAGCGGGGCGTCAGTGCCCGCCAAGGGAGGAGCTACGGGAGGGGCTTGGGAGACGCTATGGGCGGGGTTGTGGGCGGGGCCTGAGCTTTGGGCTCTGACGCGGGAGGAACGAAGGACGAGGCCTGGGCGGGGCGTAAAAGGTGGGCCAGTTGTGATGATTCCCTCCGCCAGCGCCAGGGCCTGTCCCTGAAGCCCCTGGGGCCTGGGCCCTGAGTAGGGGCATTTCCTCCGACCCCGCTCTTGGGCGGCAGTGGCCTCACAGGAAGCCTGAGTGGGATGCGGCTAACGCGGAAACGGCTGTGCTCGTTTCTCATCGCCTTGTACTGCCTCTTCTCGCTGTACGCCGCGTACCACGTCTTTTTCGGGCGCAGCCGCCGGGCACCGGCCGCGTCTTTGCGGGGCCCTAGGAAGGGGGCGGCCCCGGCGCGGGAGGGGCGCGGCCGAGGTAGGAGACGAAGCAGTGGCGCGGGTCCCCGACTGCGGGCTCCAGCGCGGGGGTGCGGGGTTAGTGGGGGCCCGCGCGGAGCGGAGCCTCGTGGCTGGGGATCCCGCTCGGGTCCGGGGCTGCCCTGGGGCCCCACGGTGCGCTTTTCCTGCTCCAGCTGTCCGTAACCTGCCGTGGGCGCCGGACTGGAGGGCAGTGCCGCCCTAGTCCCACACGCTGTCCCCACTTACCACCCTCAAAGCTGACGGACGTGCACACCTTTGAAACTTGTCTTAAACATACCAGACATTGTCACGAAATGCCAGATTCGCGGGAATGTTTCTGGGTGTAAGACACCTATTTCCTTATTGAAACAAAGACCCCCCTCTAATCATGCAGCGATTTCGGAGGGCCAGGACCCTTTACCTCCAAGTACTGGTCCCCTGGCCTGTATTTTGCCCTACGTCAGGATGGGACAGACGCTCATCTCTTCCCTTTTCAGAATTTCGCGCAGTAGTATTGTAAACCGTTGGACACTTTATTCTTAAGTCAAATTTTTGTGTATAGGTTACGTATATACAATCTATAAAGAATTGCAAAAGTTAAACTTGTAACTTGATACATATTATCCAGTTATTTTAGAAGGTTTTTGTTTGGGAGAGATAATTTTATCTCTTCAGATCTTTCAGAGTAAAGGGTTAAGAAAAATTAGATTCTGATTTCCTTTTTTTTTTTTAAATGTATGTTTAACCAGTCCAAATTCTGTTGCATTGCCTCTTTGAAAAATTAAAGTTAGGGTGAAATGAGAACTCTCTAATATCTAATTTAAATGGCTTGAATTTACAACTCCAGTTCTACCTTGCTTACAAACACTGTTACTGTTTTCAAAACACAGAACCATCTACTTTGGGAAGTGAAGAATGGAATCCTTGGGAAGAAGATGAAAAACAGGAACAGCAACACAGATTTAAAACTAGCCTTCAAATATTAAATAAATCCACAAAAGGGAAAACAGACTTCCGAGTGCAAATCTGGGGCAAAGCTGCCATTGGTGAGTTAATGTGTACAGCTAACACATGTAAAAAGCATCACAAAATGTACTTTATTAATAGTAGATTCAATTCATTTTAATACATTTATAGCTTATTTTATCACTTGTTAAAATAATGCATTTTTCAATATTTCATTTCTCCGTTTTGATAGGCAATATCTGCATAAATACGGGCACACACATTCTATTGTTGGTCTTTAGCCAAGCACAAGTTGATTTGTCAATACAAAGAATGGGTTGTGTAAGCATTATTAGAGTTAAATGCGTATGTCAACTAAATTGTCATGAATCTATGTTTATTTGTACTTGATACACAAGTATAAGTTGTGGCCACTGCCTCTGATGGCCGAAACATTGAACTACGCAAAGTTAAACCAGGTTCTTTATTGATTTCGCAGAGCCTTTTGTAGCCAATATTTGTTGTCAGTGTCCAAGAAGGGGATATAGTATGTAGCTGATTAAAATTAATTGCCCACGAAAGCATTTTCCTCTGAGTAGCCTAGCATTCCAAGTTTATATATTGTGCTCAATTAGAGAATAGAGCCCTCAATTCTTAGAAGAGTCAGAAAGAATTGAATTAGAAGGGGCTTTATTTGGCCTTTAAAAATGAGTTGGATTTATATGGGCAGTAAGGGGTATGGATAGAAAGTACCAGAGGAGAGGAAAGGAAACAGGGGACAAAGCCTGGCCCATGGAGTTTCATAAATTCATTCACACTTGCATGCAAATATACATCCTTGAAGATTACTACTGACCTCTAAATTTCAGGTACCCAGAAGTAGGCCTCCAATCATCAATTTCTAACAATTTTTTCTTTATAAGTCTCATATTTAATTTCTGCTTTTAAATGATCATTTCCTCTTTCTAGTTTTTAATTGAATCTACATCTTAACAAGTGGTAATATTTCTAGATGTTTCTCTTTTTAATCCAGTAAGCACAAAGTGACCGGATGAGTTTAGTCAAACTCTACCTTCATCAACCTATCCTATTCCCCAAGCACAGTAATAGCATACCAGGTATAGACATTCCCATTGAAAGGGAAAAAATGGAAGTAAAATTGAGTCACTGGTCCAAGCAATTTTGAAATCCAACCAGGCAAACGCCATTAGGTTTCAAGGCCTGGGGATAATCTGTGGCTCAAAGCTTTGCTTCTGGCCCTTCAGCTCTGCCTTCGTAGTCATCCTCCCTTTTTCATGAAGAGTTGGAATGTATTTTCAGATCAGTAGTTTTACAGTCTGTTTCCCGAAGATAGCCTTCTTCACTTCAACCTCTCTCCCTCAGTCCCTGGTAGTCCCAACTGCCAGTGTTTCTGCTGAGACAACATTCTCAAGAACCTTGTGGGTCTTCTGTGTATGTCAGGGGGTTAGTTGCGTTAGAAACGAGCTCCTCCACAGGTCTTTCCTGGACAATCCCTTCTCTACTTCAGGCTTTTGCTAACATTACTGAAAAAGATCCATTAATTACACATCTAATATATTCAAAGAGCCCTCTATCTGACTAAATACGATCTTTTTAATCTTTTGGGGCACTGGCCAAAAGGATATCAAGTCACATCCTTGGCCTTCTTTCAAGAACATGCTTTCCTGACAGTGAATCTCCTCAGTTTTCACGTCCTTTACAATTTGAATAGGCTGAGAATTTCCCAAATCATCAAATACTGTTTCATTTTTACTTAACACTTCTTCCCTCAATCTCGCTTTCCTTTTATGTTTTACTGTAATCAGCAAGAAGAAACTAGGCCACAGCTCTCACACTTTTCTTAGAAATCTCTTCAGCTAAATATCCAAGTTTATTGTTTACAAATTCTGCTTTCCACATAACTTCAGGACACAATTCAGCTAAGCTTTCTGTTGTTTTACAGGAATGTGCCACTTAACAAAGGGATACATTCTGAGAAATGTGTCATTAAGCAATTTTGTCCATGTGCAAATATCACAAACCTAAATGGTATATCCTACTACTGTAAAGTATACCCTGTACTTTTCTGTAACTAGTAGCACAGAAGCTTTGTTTACATCAGCATCACTACAAGTACACAAGTAATGTGTTATACTATGACTTTATGACATTGCTAGGCATAGAAATTTTTCAGACCCATTGTAATCTTGTCACATACTGCAGTTCCTCATTGATTGAAATACCATTATGTGGTACATGACTGTATAACAAGGATTCCCTTTTCCCCATTTTCTAATGTCGTGTTACTCATTTCCTGAGCCCTTACCAGCAATGCTTTTAACATACATATTTCTACCAGCTTATGATTTAGGTATTCCTTAGGATGATACAGGTTTTTTCCTACTGTGCTCTGAACTTTCTTCTGTGTTCTCACTAGCTGAGTCATTAACATCCATATATCTACCTATAATTTATTCAAGGCCATCTAATCTAGGCTTTTTCCCCCTCATACTCCTTAAAATTCTTTAAGCTTCTTTCCATACCTAATTCCAAAGCCACTTCCGAATTTTAAATATTTATTACATTGGTACTCCATTTCCAGGTACCCATAATCTATAACTACATAATCTGTAGTTTCCTATAGCATCTGTACCCTATTAACAAAAATTAAATGGCTTAAAACAACACAAATTTATTATCTTATGTTTCTGAAGGCAGAAGACTAAAATGTGTCCACAAGTCTTTATTCCTTTTGGGGGCTCTAGAGGAGAATCAGAATCTCTTACCACTTCCACAGGCTACCCGCATTCCTTGACTCACAGCCCTGCATCACTCTGACCTCTGCTCCCATCCTCACATCTTCTTCACTCACTCGGACCCTTCTGCCTTCCTCTTGTGCGGACCCTTGTAATTACAAAGAGCACACTCAAATGATCCAGGATAATTGCCCCACCTGAGCATCCTTAATTTAAGCACATTGAGAAAGTCTCTTCTGCCATGTAACATAACATATATTCACAGGTTCTTGATACTACATCCTTGGACCTTTCGGAGTTGGGGGCCCCTATTCAGCCTACTGCAGTTAGAACTCTGTGTGTGTGAGTCCTTTAGTTCTGGGATGTTACGAGCATGAAACAAAACTCATCTTTCAATGTAACTAAAATAGGGTTCCCAGATTTCTTCATTGTGTGGCACTGCTTTCCTCTACTCAGAGCTTCCATTCAAGTGAAATCATGCAAAACAGCAGAGGGTGCCCTAAGGGGAAAAGGTGCAATGGCACTTGTCTGCAGAGGGCTTCAAGCAGTGAGAGATGTGTGTTCAAGTGAGAAGGAGGTGATATCTCCTTGATATTGAAGGGATATGTACATACTGGGCTTCTCTGATTATGTTTAGCACAAAATAGTGAATCCTCCCAGCTTGTTATAAAATAGAAACAGTTCTAATCACATGCAGCAGGTCCTCCTAACATCCTTTAATTCAAGTTGTATTGTCATGTTGATGAGCTTCCATAGGAACTTAACTCCTGTTTATATCTATTAGCCTAACTAAAATTGGTTTTGTTTTACACCCATCCACTTAAAGTCACAGAACATATCAAAGAGGTTAAGTGAGGACTTACTGTAGTAATTTACATAGTACTACAGCACATTTCAGGATAAAATAGGTAGTAAAAGTCCAATGATAAATAGGCATTTCTCAAATTTAGAGTAAGAGCGGTTATTGTCTGTCACCCACTTTGCCACACTTCACACTGACAGCCTCTGAGTTCTGTCCATTCTGCTGTAGCTGCCGTGCCAATGATTTTGAGCTATTGCTTGGTAGCACTGCCTGCCAAGGAACCAAGGCAAAAAAAATTTGGTGTCCTAATCAAATGATATAAAAGAGCAGAACATAAGCTCATTTCATACGCCAGAGTAGACCAGACAGTAAATTTTTTTTTTTTTTAATTACCAGGTTTGTATCTCTGGGAGCATATTTTTGAAGGCTTACTTGATCCCACTGATGTGACCTCTCAGTGGAGAGAAGGAAATGCAGTTGTAGGAAGAACACACTACAGGTATTATTGTACAACGTTAACCTTTGCTGTGTGGCCAGTGTTTTATGCCAGTACTAGAAGAAAAATAAGAAGAATCTATATTTGTAGAAAATATTTCCGTTTCAACCTATAAAGAATAAAGAAATGAATCTCGTGAATACATATTCATAGTTAAAGCTTATCTTGAACATTTTCTTATGTAATTAAGTACAAATACTCCTCTTTTGATTGTGTCTATTTCATTTTTATCTAAACATTTCTTATTACATGAAAAAATTCATGTTCCAAATTTTGTAACATTTATTAGTTGATAAGCATTTAACATTTCATATCTTAGAGGAATAATATATAAACTTAAAGTTTTTTCAGTTTTTCTCTTTCATATAATAGTTTTGTTCACATATTTTTATAATAATAGGTTGTATAAAAGCTCTTGCTATGAGTTTTAAAATTTTTATTTATTAAAACATTTCATGTATGAGTTCTATAATGATTTAATAGTGTAAGTTACCATTTTCCTGCAATACTAGCAATCTGTTTTTTACACTCAATAAAACCAAGGCATTGTTAAGACTTTTTTGAGCATTTATTTTTATAAAACTTTTAATTATGATGGCATATTTCTAAAGGTTTTTAATAGGTAGAATTAAGATTTTATTTAGGAAAATTATGTTATCGTGAAAGAATTCTATTTCTATTAGACTTTGCTTTTTATTGAAACAAAAAATAAAAATAATTATTTTAAATTGTTTATTTCATGTAAAAATTATATTATTAGAGGGAAAAATGTGAACCAAAGACTCTATTGTATTAGGATTCTATTTCTTAGAGAAATCAAGAGGAAAAGTTATGTTGTAGTTAATCTCAATTTTATTTGAATTTTTGCTGCATCTTTAATTTTTTATTTATTTTGTATACACATAGAAAGCAATTTTATTGCATGAATCTTTTCAAAGTAATCATTCTTGAAAAGTAGATAGGTTTTTCATATCATCATTGGTAATGATTATTTTCCCTTTCATTTCCAGGCTTCTAGTGATAATTCCATTCAAGAGTTCATAGATAGTCCTTAACTGACAATAGTTGGATTTGTGTATTTGAAAGTAAATGTGTATTATGCATGTATATCTAATATTTTGATATTTTAAAAGTAAATGTGTTATGAGTATTAGTCTAATAGTTCTACCCACAATATGTACAATTTTCAGAAAAATTCTTAGAAATTTATAGAAAAGTTAGTATATACTGTTACTGTAACGTTTCTAAAGGATTTGAGCAAACAGCATTAATTCCCAAAGGGCAATTTTCCCTTCTGAAATTTTTACCTGAAGTTTTATGTTAATGTTCAAATAGGAATGCTATATTCTCTTAGGATTTAAGAGAACTGTGTATTCAAAGAAGTTAACGATTGTGGAAGATTTTCTGAAACAATTTACTAAAATTTTAGGCTCATGAAAAGTAGTGTTCCTAATTTATCCAAAATTAATAAAGTTTTTTTCTTTTTTAATTAAATTTATTGGGGTGACGTTGGGTAATAAGATTATAAAGGCTCCAAGTGCACATGTCTGTGACACATGATGTGTATGTTGCACTGTGCACCCACCACCAAAGGCAAATCATCTTCCATCACCACATATTCAGCCCTTTACCCTTTAGCACCTCCCCTCAGGTAACCACCGTATGTTGCCTGTGTCCACGAGTTTTTGTTTCTTTTTCTTGCTTGTTCATTTGTTTTTGGTGTTATATCCCACATGTGAGTGAAATCACATGGATAAGTTTTTCTGTCTGACTTATTTTCACTAAACTAGTACGAAATGGCAAGTTTTGAGTTGACTTGAACTACATGAGAACAAACTTAAATGTTCCAACACATTGATCATTATTGGACCAAAAGTGAATCAGAAGTAATGGGTCATCCTGAAGAAATAAATGGAAAGAGTTTCTAAGTCCTATCAGGGTACTTGTAAATTAGTGTAATATATTTTGTTTAAATACATGTTTTAGTTTACAAGGAGCTTGTATCATCAACTTTTAGCCTCACAACAATTCTGAGGCAGAAATAAAAATGACATCATTAGTATTCCAGGGTTGATCAGACTTATGAATGCTGATTCTTATGAATTTGTAGGCCCAAAGAATATAATCCAGAATACCAAGTAAATAGCTAGACTGGAATAGAACTATTAGTTCACATGCTTATATTGACTTGACCAGCACATTCTTTCCTTATAGGCAGCCTGCAATTGATACCCAATCATTTGAGGCTTGTTTGATTAGATATGGCATCAAAACATGGGGTTTAACAATATGAAGTACTTCCAAACTGTGTTTCAGAAGGGAAGAAATGACTCGTTGTTCACCAGTGGATCAGTAATATACAGTCTGTCCTCAGCATGTGACTACATGTACATGTGGGGCACAGTGAACAGAGCTTCATGAAGCCCTGTCACCTCTGGGCAGTGTCGCAGTGTGATTGAGTTGTAAGAGCACAGCCTTTACAGCCAAATATCGCAGTTCACACTGTAGCCTTACCTCTTATTAGCCATCTGATCCTGGGCAAGTTTCTTATCCTCTCTGTGCTTGCATGTCCTTAAGTTTAAATAAGGCCAATAGTAGATTCTACATCACAGGGTTGTTTTGAAGATTAAATGAATTGAAAGTTGTATATTGCTTAGAACAGTCTCTGGCACATAATAATCACCTCAGAAGTCTTGTTTTTATTCGTTTTATTGTTTTTACTGTTATTCAATTGGTACTGCAACATCTCCCTCCGTTTCAGTTCTCCTTTTTCTGTGTTTCCATTATTGTCTACTATCTCTCCGTCACATACCTCCTCACCAATGCCTACTGATATATTCTTTTTTTTATTTTGAGTGAACAATTTTTATTGAAACCCTTAAAGATTAAAGAGGACTAAATGGTGACTTTGGGTACCATGACAGAAAGTCTCACGTGACTGTATCATCATTTACAGGAACGAACAAACCCAAATGTGACAAAATTCAAATTCTTGTGTAATTGCTGCAAATGAATGTAAATAAACTAATCATTCACTCACAACCTTTCAGTAACCATTCAAAACAGAAGGGAATCCATGTGGCATAACAAAATGTGCAAAGCTTAATGAAATAAGTTTCTCAAACTTATTTTTATAGGATGCAGCATTCACTTGAAATGATTAAATGCCTTAAGCTGATTTTTTTATTGCAAACTCTTTTAACATCAGGTTAACTTCAGTGCATGGTATTCAAAAAGAACACAGCTTATGAATTAGAAAGATCACTTAAGTTAAAATGAGGAATTAAGTATTGTAATTAGGAAAAGGCTGGGGGGGTGGTGGTTGAAAGAAATCTTCAAGAGAAAGAATACGAATTTTGGTACATTTTCCTCCTTACTATACAAACTATTATACCTTTCAAAATAAAATACCCACATAGGATAACTTTAATAAGAAACATTCAAACCAGGTCTTGGAAAAACATTAACCAAAAAATTTACTGGACCAATCATGTCTAAATTTGTGATTATTCAAACATTTTATTAAGTGTTTTTTGCTGCAGAGCTTGGGTTCTCTCTTTTTGGTCCCTGCAATTAAGAAACATTCAGTTAGCTGTACTATTGAAATTGATATATTCTTTATGTTAATGTGTTCAAATAGGTTACAAACTACCCTGGGATCCATTCTGTCTCTTAAGGAACTTTGCCTATCTCTATTCAGATCCATCATATGTTGACCTACAGTTTGATTTTATTAGGCAACTTTATTTTTAATTTCTTAAGAGGAATCTTATTCCTGCTCCATGGCCTTTGCCTATTCCCTGAAGACTGCCTTCAGAATCCTGTAATTTCCATAAGCAGGCATATATCTGTATATCTACTTCATTTTTTTTCTGTGTACATTGTTATATACCGTATTTTTCGGACTGTAAGATGCACTCCCCCCCCCAAATTTGGGGGGAATAATGGTTGTTAATGCTGCTGTCAAGTTCTGTTTACATTTACATTGGCGAAATATTATGTTATTTATGTTATTAAATATTTTACTACATTTTTGTTTCAACTTTTTTTTCCTATTTTCCTCCTCTAAAACCTAGATAAGTCTTATGGTCTGAAAAATACAGTAATTAAGATGATAGTGCAGATATGATACTGTTCCCTGCTTTTTCACAGAGTCGTAGCTAACATTTATGAGCAGAAGCTCTGTGATCAGTATTGTCTTAAGCGCTCTACAACTGTTACCTCCTTTCATCCTTAGTACCCATTGCTAATCTCCATCCAAATTAGTTCTCCTGCCCATAAGTAATCTCATTCTCCACATACACCCTTGGATCACAAGCTTATCTGCTTCGCTGCCTTTGTTCATATTATATTTCCTGGAATACATTTCAACCTTTACGTTGCTCCCTTGATTCCCCTTTCACTTGAACTACCTTAGCAATTTTATTCTATATCACTTAATATAACATTTAACATGTACTCTTATGCTAGTGTTTATTGAACTGTAAAATACTGAACAGGTGTTTTTAATCTATTACATGCTTATATAAAACAATAAATAGATATATATTATTTGAAAAATGGTTTATACCTCAAAGTCATACCCAATAAATAATAAGTTAGAACAATTATATCAGCCCTGGCTGGTGTGGTTCAGTGGATTGAGTGTCCGTCTGCAAATGGAAAGGTTGTGGGTTTGATTCCTGGTCAGGACATAAGCGTGTGTTGCAGGCCAGCTCCCCAGTTGCAGGTGTGCGAGAGGCAACCAATTGATGTTTCTCTTCCTGCCTTACTCACACCCTTCCCCTCTCTCTAAAAATAAATAAAATCTTTAAAAACTTTTTTTTTTTAAACTCAGTGTTGTCGTCATGGATTTAGCAACTTCAGCCTGATTTCTCAAATGCCAAACAAGGAACTAATGTAGTCTGGAGTTGTTGTGGATGTTAAATGATAACGTGTGCAAAATGCCTGTGTATTGTGTATATAAAAGGCATTCAATAAATGTTAGTCTTTATTTCCTCAAGTTACAAGCAATAAAAACAGGATTTCAGGATATTTATACTAAAGATTAAAAGATTCTAGCAGGTTATAAAGAAATGCAGCAAATTGTAAAGAATCTAGGACCATTGTGGCTAATTTTAAGATAGATTAAGTGGTATTTTTTATATTTTATACATATCAGTTAAAAATATTTCAGTGGTATTGGTTGTTGTGAGTAGCAGGTAAGATGAAAGAAAATATTATGAAATATGTCTATTTCTTGACAGTTTTTTAATACTTTAAAGAATAGAGAGTAATACAACAAATTCTCATTTACCAACCACACAGAACTAACACAGTCCAGCTCTCGGTCATATTTGCTTCAGATATTCAACTTTCCTCTTAATAGAATTAAATACTTTCAATAAAAGTGAAGCTGTTTTTGTACTGTTTCCCCAGGCCCTTTTCTCTTCCTTCCTCCTCGGAGGCAACTACTGTCATGAATTTGGTGTGTATCTTCCCACTCAAGTTTTTATATTTATACCTATAATAGATATATAAGCATAAATTTTTTCTGAATTTACTTTAAAATTTACATAACTATCATATTTTATGAGTGTTCTGCTACTTGCTTTTTTTAATACTATATTTTGAGACTTAACCTTCATGGAATGTTTATAATGCCATCTTCCATTTCTTAATTTATCAACACTTTCCCATCCATTGATTCAGACATTTCATTCAGATAGACAGTATAATAGCAGCTCACACCATAAAGGGGGTGGGAGCTTCTGGCTTAAACACCTTTCCAGTATGAACTACAGAGGGTTAAACAATATTCAACTGCCTTTCTTTGCTTAATGCTCAAATTCCAGCCAGCACTTACTTTGATTGTGGTTTAAAAAGGGGGGCGTGGGTACCATATTTCCGAGTATCATCTACAAGCTGATCTGTCTGCAACCAAGGCTGATTAATCTACAGCAAAGCCCCAAAATCCAAATTTGTTCAAAAGAATTTATATTATAGAAATTATGTTTCTCGAAAGAATATGGATTAAATCTCCCTGTAAATTTTATATAAAATGATTAGAAACTCATGGTGCTAAATATATTCATTCTCTTTTTTGTCTCCTGTTTTGTTGTTTTGTTTTTGACAGCTTCATCACTGGTCCCGCTGTAGTCCCAGGGTACTTCTCTGTCGATGTGAATAACGTGGTACTCATTTTAAATGGGAGAGAGAAAGCAAAGGTCTTTTATGCCACCCAGTGGTTACTTTATGTACAAAATTTAGTACAAACTCAAAAAATCCAGCATGTTGCTGTTGTTTTGCTTGGAAATGAACATTGTAACAATGAGTGGATCAAGCAATTCCTCAAAAGAAATGGAGGCTTTGTGGAGCTGCTTTTCATAATATATGACAGCCCCTGGATTAATTACATGGATGTTTTTCAATGGCCTTTAGGAGTAGCAACGTAAGTACAAAACATTAGACCTGACTCTAGACTTTCAGACCTGAATTTCAAGACCAGGAAGATTGTGGTTTAAATTTGCAATAAACGTAGTTCTTTTGAGATCATTGAAGCCAGGTGCGATGTTTTCCATAGACAAAAATACAGTTTGGTCTCGTGCTTCAGTAATAATAATGATGTTTTTAGAGTATTTTATTTAGCCTTTTACAAAAAAGGCAGATGAATTATGTTTTGGTGTTTTAAAACTGCCAGGCATAAGATGAATTTTTAAGTTTATCAGCAGTTCCATAAAGAGATGACTAGCAGAGGATGGCAGACAAACAGGACTTCTTAAAACAGTTTTTATAAAATCTCTATAACTAATAGTGTTAAAAAAAAACCCTTCCTTAAAGGCAATATTAAGTCAGAAGCACACTGTACTCTTGGGCCTGGAAGCAAATAATATGATCAGATCTGCCACCAAGACTGGTTGAATTTGCACAAATTTCTATTTTAAAAAGGAATTAATTAATAATTAAGATTTCTCAATATGTCACATATAAGGTCTTTCTTTAAAATGAAAAACTTATTTTTAATCTCTCTGTTAATGGAGTATTATTATTATTATTATTATTAAGAGTAAGTTGGCTTTAAAAAGGGTTGCCACTGTACATGAACTTCCTGATGGCAGGGATTTTGTGTCTTTTCGTTCACTACTTTATCCTCAGAGCCTAAGTTTTTCGTGAATGTAGCAGGGTATTTATACTTTTAAGGTCTTGAATTCAACCTGCCTTACAAGTACAGGTGTCTAATAAAAGTTGAAGAATGTAAAAAACAAGGCACTTTGGCACACAATCTCTATAGCAATTTTGTAAAAGATGTCATTGTGAGAATCTTTTTTTTAAGTCAGTAGATTCCAGGACTTTTCCAAAGTAAGCATGGAAAATTACAGTTTGGGGTTTAAAAAATCATAATTTAGATCTCTTCTTTCTACATCATCATGCTAAGATGTCGGGTTATGGGAATTTTGCCAGTTCTCTTGTCACATATTGCTAACTCATATGTGCTTATTCTTACAGATACAGGAATTTTCCTGTGGTGGAGGCAAGTTGGTCAATGCTGCACAATGAAAGACCCTATTTATGTAATTTCTTAGGAACTATTTATGAAAATTCATCCAGACAAGCACTAATGAACATTTTGAAACAAGATGAAATTGATAAGCTTTGTTGGGTTTCAGTGAGAGAACAGTAAGTTACTTGATTCATTCAACTTTGTTCTCCAGTCTGAGAGTTGCTTTATGTGGAAGCGCAGGTTTCCGAAGAGACATTGTTAACTCCACTTTTGAGTGTATCAGTCCTTCCCCAGGAGATGGATTGGTAATTAAAGCTATGAAGAACTGGGGTTGTATACGTTTAAAACAGGGAGAATCTCCAATAGCTATAGTGCGTCTTGAAGAAGAACACTAGTAACTGCAAATGCCAGTTGTTTGGGCTTGCTCAATATTTGCTAGTCAGACTTGACACACAGGAAATTGTGAATATGCCAATAAGGCCTTACTTTCATCCTGAGATGTTCTGCAGACCAGGTCAGTGTTCCATTAATGGCATGGAGTACTCCTCATAGCTCCAGGAACCTGGCATCACTCTGAGGACAGGGACCACTTACTATTATTTTTTGAATCCCCAGGTCAGTATAGGACCTTGCATAAAGCAGGCCAGGCTGAGTGGGGCAGTGGATGGATGCATGCATTGATTTAATAGGGTTGACTTTATTCCATTTCTTTGTACATGGTAATCATGAAACAGGTGTTCATGAAATGAAAGAAGAAATTTTGGAATTATTTTGTCTTTAAAAAATCCAGTGCAGTTTTGTGTGTATGAAGCAGAGTCATCAGAGAACTAATGGCTAAAAAGTGTCCTTCTACATCTAGAAATGTATTCATTGTAGCAGACACACTCTTCTAGAAAACATAATTCCCAACTCTGCTATTCGTGTAACCATATTATATCCATTCAGTCAACAAATATTTATCAAGCAACTGTCTGTGCCCAAAACTGTTTTAGCTGTGAGGGATCCAGCATTGAACAAAATGATCATAGTGCATGCCCTCTTAGGATTTAGATGTTTGTGGGAGGAGACAAACCAGTAAAATGTAGTGTGTATCAGAAGACAATAAATGCCACGTAAAAAAAATTGAGCAGAAGAGCGAAATAGAGAGGACCAGGAATCAGGGGTAGAACATTTGCTGTTTGAGAATGGCCAGAGCAAGTGCTAGAAAGAGGTTACATTTAAGCACAGGCTTGGAGAAGGTGCACGGGTGAGCCTTGAGTGTGTCTAGGAGAGAGCAGTCCAGGCTGAGGGAACGGCAAAGGTAAAGAGCCTAAGGCAGAAGCATGCTTATGGTTGAGCAACAACAAGGGACAGTGTGCCTGGCATAGAATGAGTGAGGGTAGTCTAAAATGACAACATTTTTTGTGGCAGTAGCATTATTCCTGCAATTCTTATAGTGATGGGCCAGGAGATCATCAACTACATGTCCTCCTTGCTTCTCATTGCTGCTCCCAGACCACATCCCTTTTCCCTCCCTGAAGCCTCCAGTCTTGAATCTCATGCCAGCAGACAAAACCATCCATTCCTCTTCCTCTCTGAAATCATACTCTGACCCTGAAGGGTTTATCTCCTTAATTCTTTGAAGAATTTCGTTCCTGGCCCTCTCCCTCTCTGATATGACTCCAGTCTCCCTTTGGTGATCCAGATCTACATAGATGGTCCTTCCATCACCTTGGTCCCACAGTTCCTTTACCTCCTCTCCTCCATGATCCGGTCTCTACTTGACCTCAGCTATTTACTATCATGGTTTTTATTTCTAGACCTTATTCACACACATACTGCTTCTCTTCCACAATCTCAAGTTCCAGCATCTCTCTCTGTAACCACCATTTCCTATAATTTCCTGTAACCATTGTTCCCTGTAATAATCTCCTAAAGTGTAGCTGGGACTTAGAGCCTATTGTTCCTACTTCCTTTTCATTGTTCTTTTGCTCACCTCATTATTTTCTTCTTTACCCCACTTACACGTTGTAGTCAGTCATGACTGGATATACATTCAGCTCCCTAGTTCCCTAATCTAGCAAACCCTAACTCTGCCTAAATCCAGCTCTCACCTGCCCCATACCTATACCCATGCAACCAAACACACATGGAGAAAGCTGCCAATCAATTTCACTTTTAATGCATGACCTTGACCCTCAAGCGCCCAACAATCATCCTTTTCCCTCCTCTGTATACTTCCACACTCTTCAAAGACTGTTTTATACCTCGTTCTCTCTTCCAAACCACTCTTACCTCATGACCCTACTGGTTATTTCACTGAGAACATAGGAACAGTCAGGAGAGAACATCTAGCTTTCTGACGGGCATCTCAGCTTCTACCCTTGCCCCCTTTAGTCTGTTGTTAACACAACAGCCAGAATGATTTTGATAAACATACATGAGGTCAGTCACCCCTGTGATCCAAACCCTGCATGATAGGATCCTCTGACTTCACCTTCTCCACCTTTCCCCCCAGTCACTCCCCTTCATCCATGCTGACTTCCCTGCTGTTCATTGAGTGTGTAGGACATGCTGTCTCATGGCCTTTGTGCTTCCTCTGCACTCTGTTCACCCCCCACCCCAGACATTTGCATATTTTGCTCCCTCACCTCCAACTCCATGCTCAAGATGCACCTGTAATAAAATATTCCCTGAGCACCTGTTTTCAAATTGCAACAGTTTCCTCAGAAACTCCCTCCTCACACTCTGCTTCATTTTTCCTAACAGCACTTAACACCTTCTAAATAATTTACTGACTTGACTTGGTTGCTACCTGTCTTCACCCAGTAGATCTAGACTGTAAGCTCTGAGGGGGCAGGAGTTTGGAGGGTGAGGGAGAGAGAAGGTCTGGACTCAGAAAATACTGGCTGAATTAACATTCATTCAGAAATTCTGTGGTGACCACTGGATTTTTTAAATGTGTAGCTGTAAACTTTTCAAAATCTGAAATATTTTCAAGAAATCTATTTGGGTAAGATTTCATTTATCTTTTCTGCCCGTCGTCTCTATGATGGGTTTATCATTGCCTGTAACTGACATTAAAAGGTAAAATCTTTTCTTTCATAAAAGTTATGCTTAGTAAAGTGAAAACTACAGTTGTTTTTCTTATTTTCTAGGTGGCAGCCCCAAGAAACAAATGAAAGCCTTAAGAATTATCAAAAAGCTTTGCTTCAGAGTGACCTCACATTGTGCCCAGTAGGAGTAAACACGGAATGTTATAGGATATATGAGGCTTGCTCCTATGGCTCCGTCCCTGTGGTGGAAGATGTAATGACAGCTGGCAGCTGTGGAAATACCTCTGTTTCCCATAATGCTCCTCTGCAGTTGCTCAAGTCTATGGGCGCCCCCTTCATCTTTATTAAGAACTGGAAGGAACTTCCTGTTGTTCTAGAAAAAGAAAAAACTATAATTTTACAAGAAAAAATTCAAAGAAGAAAAATGTTACTTCACTGGTATCAGCACTTCAAAACAGAGCTAAAAATGAGATTTACTAATATTTTAGAAAGTTCATTTTTAATGAACAATAAAGTTTAACTATTAACTTAGTTTTTTTGAGCTAAGATCTGATTTTTTAAATCATTTCTAACATCGGGTATGTGTGTGGGTGGGTCATGGTTATTCTTTACGGTGCCCTGGTTGACCCTAGGTATGTCTGTCATGGTTGACCAAGTACCCGCTTGCTGGGCCACTCCTGAAAATGAAGCTAAAATGTTACTCAACTCACTTTTACAAAGTTGAATGATTCAGTATTTATTGACTCCTTTCACCAATTAAACCCACTCTAGGGGAGCAGCATTGTGTAAGTGGAAAGATGGGGCTTTGGAGGCAGGCAAAACCCAAGTTAAAACCTTGCCTCTGCACCTACTACCTGTTTACCTTGAGGAAGCCACCTCATTGCTCTGAGTCTCAGTTCCTTTCTATTTAAATAGAGATAATGGCACCTCATAGGGTAATTTGTAAATATGAAACAAAATAATGAATAAAGTGCCCAATATGTGTAGCAAACTTTAAATAAATAAATAGTAACTTCTTTTTTTTTAAATAGTAACTTCTAATTCATTTTTCATTCCTTACTCGTTAAAGGTTAAGTTTAAATGTTTTATCACATTCTCATTTACATAATTTGGGAGTAATCATGCCATGTTGGAAATGTACGTAGACAAATCATGTGGAGTTAAACTTCTAGGTGACTTGGGCTTTGTTGGGTTATGTTGAGGTGGGTGTCTGGATGCAGAAATTGGTCATAATCCATACAAACCATGGCCCAGGGCAGTTAGAACTAGAAAATTAGTGCCTAAACTCTACAGAAGTTGTTATTCAAGGACAGAGAAAAACTAGCCAGCTCAGAAGAGGGCTTCATGCAAAGGCTGGCTGGTGCCCATGGACAGCAGTGACTTGGGTTCAGGCCAATGAGTGGTCTGTATGTTAGGTCCTTGGGCTCCTGAGAGGATGGAGGGAAAGATGGGCTCCATCTGTTGCTTTGCCTGGCTTACTATTTTCTCAGGAATCCCGTGGCTTAATTTCTGTGAAACCAGAGGATTAACATCACTGTGAATGATGGGTTTGTTTTTTTTTGTCTCATTATATGAATAGCCATAGGTATTCAGTAGGTATAAATTCTCCCACAAGTTCATGGACCTGGAGCTTACACAGGGATCTCCACATCATCAGAAGGTCTGGCAGCCTGGAGATGAAGTACCTTACCTTAACGTCATAGTGAAGACTCATGGAGCCCACCACAACCCTATTCAATTCTGAGGAAACTGTCCCTGCTAATATGCCACATGTAAGGAGCCATTTTATACTATGTGTCTCTCCTCCATTGTGACACACTTCAAGTGACAACTATGGACATTTTATTCAAGGGTACCCTGTCAATAAGCTTCTTGATGACCGTGAACATTAGTACCAGAAGATAATAATAATTGAGGCAGACAGCTAATTGAAAGCCTTTGTGAACTAGGAAATACTGAGAACCTCGAAGTCAACTGCAGGAGCAGCAACTGAAAGGATGCAGTGGAGGAGGAGCTATAAGGCATATAGGGGCTATGAGAGAAGCAAAGATGCCAGGAACAAGCTCAGCGAGAAAAATCTGCCCTAGAGCTGCTGTGACGGTGCCTTATGGGTTTCCAGCTCCTGTGCGTGTGAATTTTGAGATTGCTTTTTTTAAAGATTTTTATTTATTTATTTTTAGAGAGGGAAGGGAGGGAGAAAGAGAGAGAGAGAAACATCAATGTGCGGTTGCTAGGGGCCGTGGCCTGCAACCCAGGCATGTACCCTGACTGGGAATCGAACCTGCGAAGCTTTGGTTCGCAGCCCACGCTCAATTCACTGAGCCACGCCAGCCAGGGCGAGATTGCTTTTTTATTTCCCCATTGTGTATCCTCAGAATTATCTCCTTTCTTGAACCTTCATCCCTCTTCGCTCCTGGTTACTTGAGCTGACTTCTAAACCAAAAGAGCCTACCCCAAACTATGACCTTGCACTTCATCTCTGAGTCCCCATTTTGTCTTTTCCTGGAACAGGAGTGCTGCCAGGTCCAAGGTTGTAACACAGTCTACTGTATTTCACCAAGACTAGATCATCTTTCTCTTTATGTGGTACTTGCTGTTGCCCATAATCCTTTCAAGGAATGCTTTCTGAATTGAGGTGTTTCTTGCCAGCAGAGCCTGTGAAATGTCAAGACCATGGGGCAAGACAAGTGAGTCACATCAAAAGAAATTTTCTCATGTCCTCCCACATTCTTTCTTACCATATGGAGTTTGTGAGTAACTTAGTAAGAGGCCAACTCTAAGCCATCAGTTGCCTCTAGAACTAGTTGGAAATCTGCCTAACTACTTCTGGTGGTCTCTGTTACAAAATTGGAGTCCATGAAGTTTGAGGCTCCAGAAAAAATATCCAGGTCTGAATTCAAACTTCAGTGAACCAGAACTACAGTTTGAGACCAATGCTGGAGTGGGACTCCACTATTACAGGCTGCTTTTCTATCAACACCAGATAATTTTCCAGCTCAAGAAGTAACCAGGCAGCAGAATGCACTTATACATTAAATACTGATATTTTGTAACATACACTATGTACTAGGAACTTGCCTAAATGTTAAGAATAAAAAATTAAATTAAAGAAAAACTAGTTTTGCCCTGGTAGAAAGAACTATATAAAAATTACAGAATACTTGTGCTAAGAATTCCAGTAAATATATTTACAAAGATCTATGGGAATTCAGAGAAAAATCTGCTTGTCCCAGAGTAAAGCTTCCAGACTTGTCTTGAGTTGAATTTAAAGGATATATAGATTTAGTGGCATCTTTCAGTAGCAGCAAAGGGACATGGAGGCAGCATTTTTTTCCCCCTCTAAAATCAGCTGAGCCTGAGACCCTCTGGGCGCAACAGCTCAGGAGGAGACTGAGGCTCCCAGGGTGGTAGGCTAGCAAGTTAACTGCCTCTAGAGCTACAGAACCACTGACTGTGCAGGCAAAGGGTTTCAGTCGTCTTCTTCTATCAGAATGAATTCATCACAGAAGGGATCCCTGGAAATCAGTTCATGGGGGTGGTAGTTCCTGAGTACCCTCAGAAGGAAGTAGAGCCCCACTGTGCTTCAAGTTGTTTGGCATCTGACTATGTGTTGCTGGTCCTAAAATGACTCTGAGCTCCATTTAGATATCTTTAATGCATGTTAATCTAACTAAACCTGTGTTTATTCCTCTTCCAAAACACACACGTACAAACCTATTTCCTCTCAATCCTTCTTAATCTCAGTAAATGTGAAACAGTCATTCTAGGAAGCATTCTCCTCAGTTTGTTGAGATCTTGCTTCCAGGTTTGCCTTCTGCCTCAAGTAAATTTTTATAAAAATTCTGTACAGGTTTCGATGTCTCTTACATTGATGGGATTAAAACATAGAGAATACTTAGTATATAAGGAAAAGACATCATCAAGAATAAATTATCAGTTGATAACATTTTAAAATGCTTTATTGTCACACAGACTTAGGAGAAAAGAGAGAAGGAAGACAATCCAAGTTGTCTACCAAGTGCTTACCTGTAAAGTTCTGTCTGTAGCAGATGGATGTGAAACAGTAGGTAGACACATAAAATGCAGGGTGGGGAAAAAGTAGGTTCTCAATTGTGAGTACTCAGAACAGAGTTTGTACTCGTATCATCATTATTTGTATTTTCCATACAAACTGTAAGCCTGCTTTTTCCCACCATTTATATCATTTTGAATTTTTTACACATATATTTTTACAGATTTCAGTTATAAAGTAGAAATACAGAAACAAAATTTTCATCGTAATAAGCAGTGGAAGATGGATGGCATTCATGGTGCGATTTCCGCTTTGTCCAGAAGAGGGAGCGGTGAAACCCATGGTTTCCTGAGTTTGCTTCTGTTACTTCTCAACCGAAGGGAGGAGTGTATGGAACTGGGGGAAAAAATGCTATTGAATTTTGGACGGAGAGGCTTTCTGAGTGAGCGATTGTCTCCCACACTGCATTTTAGAACCATTGAACAGAATACCTGGCCACTACCGCCCAGGCATGATTTTTTTGTCAAGTCTCTTTCCTTGACAAAAGATAAGAATCAAGTCGACATCCATTGTTAGGAGCTTTTCATTCTTTTTAAATGAACTGGTTAGAATCCAGAATGTGTTCATTATTTAATGAAAGATGGGTTTGTGTTATTGAAGTTTGCACAATCAGAAACCCAAAAAGTAGGAAGTGTTTGTCAAAAGAGCAGTGTTGGAGTTTCTCAGAACTCGAATAGTTCTTAAATTATTCTTAATGTGAAAAGACAAATATGATTACTTATATTTTATCAAATGTAATACATGCATTAGTTCCTCGTGTACATTTCACTTTAACGTTGTGGAAGTTGAATATGTCCTGCTTAAACAACCATCAAAGCCTATGGGGACCCGATGACATGCTCACAGGCACACATCCTGTACAAGCAAGTGTGTCTCCTGCATTGTTTCACATTACTCAGACAATTCAAGGAAGGAGAAAGACAAACAGCCAGTAAACACACGTAAACATGTTCATCCTTGCTAGTAATCAGAGAAATGCAAATTGAAATAAAAAGGAGATACCTGTTTAGATTCATCGTATTGGCAAAAATTTAGAAGTCAAATTTGGGCACCTTCATGCTCTGCTGGAAGAGTTGAAATGGGTACGACCACATTGGAGAGCAGTTCAGCACATGCACTAAAGCTAATGATGCTCAGCCCTGCGGTCCGGCAGTTCCACTCTCCTTAAGTGGAAAACTTAGTCACACGTAAACGCTCATTATCCCTGAGGGTTATCTGCCCACCGCCCTATAGGAAACTCTTACCCACGTGCATAAGGAAAAAAAACAAATATATTCATAGCAACATGGTTTATAACAGCAAAAAAATTGAAAACAAATGTCCATCAACAGAAGAGAAATGAAATGTGGTATCATTATTCAGTATAAAACTAATGAAACTATACAAACTACAAGTATATGCAGTAACATGATTGAATTTCCCAAATAAAATTTTGAGAATAGGCAAAGAACATGTACAA